ACTATAGTCCTGACTATGAAAGACTATAGTCCTGACTATGAAAGACTATAGTCCTGACTATGAAAGACTATAGTCCTGACTTTGAAAGATTATAGTCCTGACTATGAAAGACTATAGTCCTGACTATGAAAGACTATAGTCCTAACTATGAAAGACTATAGTCCTGACTATGAAATACTATAGTCCTAACTATGAAAGACTACCGGGTGTCCCAAAAAAAAGTACTCCTGTTTGATTCGTAATAACTTCTAAATAAGTAAAGCTTTTAAAGAGAAATAACTTGCATTAAATAGAGGAAGGACAAACTTCGATTTTGATATATGACAGTTGTATTTTCTTTAAAAATTCACGGAGATATTAATGTTCAAAATTGGGGGCATATTTTGGGATGTGTCTAAAATTAGCGCAAATCGGCATATCAAATATTAACTCCAGCGTTTGTTTGCTTAATGACATATCAGGCTAACTTGTATTTCAGCGAATTATCGTTAGAGTTTGTAAGGGATATGGCGTAGATTTAGACATCTTACATGTAAGTCTTAGCTCATTGTTCCCTGATATATGAACGTCCGAAATTATGCAAGTATTTAATATTAGGTCTTTGCAAACTTAAAGGTACATGAGAGACTGACCATGGAAGGCAGGCGCTTAAATTTTTTTAAATAGCCTAATTTTTTTATGTTTTTAAGTAGGTTCAAACAGACTAAGTTGATTATTTCTCGGTTAGAGCAGGATGAATATTATTCTTTATTGAAGGAAATAAGTGTTGCTTTTTGCAAATACACATCACCGTATCAACGCTACTATTTTGTTACGTTTTGTTCCAAAAATGCTGCATGTCTCTCGGGAGTTGCTTAATTGTTATGTCTTATGGAGTTGTATGGTTTGATTGTGTTTTATATAATTCTCAGTTTACTCTGAACTTGAGACTAAGAAAAAGCAAAAGAGTATGGGTGTTCTTAACAAGATTTCAGAACGTTGCAGAAGTTAGAAGAGCTTCACAATTCCATTGTGACAGCATGTCCTAATTCAGAACTACGAACGATCCATGACGATCCTTCGCGATGCCGTGGTCTCATGAAATAAGGAAACGTATTCGTACGTGCTAGGAACACACGCGAATTTTGGACGAATAAATCTTGCTTGTATTTTGTAGATATAATAATACTTTGTTTCATAATAAACAATTTGTCAAGTGTAATTTATTTACTGCATGGTAATAGTGCAAGTTTCAGTCGGGCAAACCTTGATTAATATTTGATACGCCGTTTTTTGCATATTTCAGACACATCCAGAAATATGCTCCCGATTTTAAAGATTAATATCTCCGTGAATTTTTAAGTGAAATACAACTGTAACATATCAAAATCTAAGTTAGTCCTTCCTCTATTTGATGCAAGTTATTTCTCTTTAAAAGCTTTATTTGTTTAGAAGTTATTACGAATCAAACAGGAGTACTTTTTTTTTGGGACACCCGGTATAGTCCTGACTATGAAAGACTATAGTCTTAACTATGAAATACTATAGTCCTAACTATGAAAGACTATAATCCTGACTATGAAAGACTATAGTCCTGGCTATGAAAGACTATAGTCCTAACTATGAAAGACTATAGTCCTAACTATGAAAGACTATAGTCCTGACTATGAAAGACTATAGTCCTAACTATGAAAGACTGTAGTCCTAACTATGAAAGACTATAGTCCTAACTATGAAAGACTATAGTCCTAACTATGAAAGACTATAGTCCTAACTATGAAAGACTATAGTCCTGACTATGAAAGACTATAGTCCTGACTATGAAAGACTATAGTCCTGACTATGAAAGACTATAGTCCTGACTATGAAAGACTATAGTCCTGACTATGAAAGACTATAGTCCTGACTATGAAAGACTATAATCCTGACTATGAAAGACTATAGTCCTGACTATGAAAGACTATAGTCCTGACTATGAAAGACTATAGTCCTGACTATGAAAGACTATAGTCCTGACTATGAAAGACTATAGTCCTGACTATAAAAGATTATAGTCCTGACTATGAAAGACTATAGTCCTGACTATGAAATACTATAGTCCTAACTATGAAAGACTATAATTCTGACTATGAAAGACTATAGTCCTGACTATGAAAGACTATAGTCCTGACTATTAAAAACTATAGTCCTGACTATGAAAGACTATAATCCTGACTATGAAAGACTATAGTCCTGACTATGAAAGATTATAGTCCTGACTATAAAAGACTATAGTCCTGACTATGAAAGACTATAGTCCTGACTATGAAAGACTATAGTCCTGACTATGAAAGACTATAGTCCTGACTATAAAAGACTATAGTCCTATACAGAAGCTTCACAGAAGCTTTACAGAAGCTTTACAGAAGCTTTACAGAAGCTTCACAGAAGCAGAAGCTTCACAGAAGCAGAAGCTTCACAGAAGCAGAAGCTTCTTTGAAGCGCCGAGCCTGATTAAGAGCTGGCTCCGAGCCTAGGGAGCTGGCTCCAAGCCGGGGGAGCGTAAGGACTATAGTCTTTCATAGTCAGGACTATAGTCTTTCATAGTCAGGACTATAGTCTTTCATAGTTAGGACTATAGTCTTTCATAGTCAGGACTATAGTCTTTCATAGTCAGGACTATAGTCTTTCATAGTTAGGACTATAATCTTTCATAGTCAGGATTATAGTTTTTCATAGTCAGGACTATAGTCTTTCAAAGTCAGGACTATAGTCTTTCATAGTCAAGACTATAGTCTTTCATAGTCAGGACTATAGTCTTTCATAAAGATAGGGATAATAAGATAAAGATAAGAAGATAAGGATAAGGAAGATATTATGCTCTAAGAAGTAGACCACATTAACTTTGTAATTAAACGTCTCGAAGAAATAAATGTATTTTAAGACTGAATTGTTGTGTAAACTTCTGGTATAAAGCCCTCCTGTCCTGTCTAAACTGCTTTCTCTCTTCTAATATAAGCCTCCTTATTGTTGTGTTTCCAACCCGCAGGGATAAGCTGCGACGCCCGCGCAATGAATATCCTAATCTATCCGTATTTATCCGCTTTAGAAAATGCAAATCTCTGATAAAAATTAATCCTTTAATTAGTTTCACCCTGACAACACATAGCAACCGGTGTGCTTTAATATAGCTTAAATTTATTAACCTTATCCGAGTTTTAGTACTTTAAAAACCTAGCACTAAAATATAAAAATCGCTTGACAATTATATATCATAACCTTTAACTTCCATGTGCACGTGTTTATATAGCTCAAGATAGCAATAAATGAATTAAAAAAAACCCTGAAATCTTATGCAAACTTTTGCCTTCAAAGCCCGCTTTTCCGCCCGCGCAAACCACCCGCCTGATTAGTGTACAAGTATGTTGTACGTTAATATATGCATGCACTCAAGCGTCGCTAATGACTTAGCAACGCGTAACAACGTATATAACGACTACATGTTTTTATCGCAAAATATATTACAACTGTTTCAATTCTTCATAACCTTACTTATGATCTGACTCGGTCATCTTAACAGTATATATGTATGTAGAAGATTTGCTAAATAACGTTGAACAACATGCAAATATTGACCTTAACAATGACGTTGACAACCCGGGATTAGCAACTGTTTAGTTCTGTTTAAAATATGTCTTGATTTTTGTGACGAATAGATTCCTCTCTATAATTTTGTAAACATACGAAAAATCCTTCACTATACTCGTGGAAAGTTATCTCTTCCGAGCAAAGATACGGCTATAACTCTGCTATATATTAATTTCGATAACAATTTTGCCATGTGAGGAAATTGAGCTATTCATAGCAAACCAAAATTAATCCCTCAAATGTATCATACACGTGGGGGACGCTAAAAAATGCGTAGTTTGCAAGTTTTTCCCGATCGTGTTAATAATAATAATAATAATAAAACTTTATTTAATAAGGGATTACTTAATATAGTATTCTTCCCAATGGCCCTCGATATCTAATATAATATATAAAAATATATTTAAAAAAAATCCTATTGAAAGTAACATTGACAATGAGTAATATGCTTACAGTCGATGCAGCGGAATTTATTAACGTCATCTACTTCATAATTCAATTGAATAAAGTAGGTTTTGAGCTTCTTTTTATAGGAATAAATTGAATGATTTTCAATATCTTTTAACTCGGAAGGTAGAGAATTAAATAAACTTGCACCACTGAAGGAAATTTTGGATTTTGCTTGCGTAGTCTTAACTGATGGAACTTTTAAGTCTGTAATAGACGACCTAGTTGGAATTGGATGAGAGTCGCGAACAAAGACAAACAATTTACGAAGATCCGGCGGCCAAGATGTTTTTAAAATATTGAATATCAATAATATTGCCCGCGTGACGTCATTGCATTTTGTCCGCGTGACGTCATTGCATATAATTATGACGTATGTTAATGAGTGACGTCATTACTCCTCCTCAATTGTGCGCCCCCCTTAACTACCTGCATAAATAATGATGCGGTCCCCCTTGCATAGTAATTACTTGCATATATAACGATGCGGCCCCCTTGCGCCCCCCGGCGGCCCCCTGCAAAAGGGGCTCGAACGGTACCTATATTACTGTCATGCAGTGTAATATAGTTACTCAACCAAAATCCTTCCAAATTCAAAGAGAATGCCACAACGTTACAACTGAATAGACGGTGTTATGTATAAGCACGGAACGGATTATTCTTGTTTTATCTTCGATGATTTTCTCCTTTTAGGGAGTCATTCTTAACTGGATTGGGTTTTTTAAAACAATCTTTCCTCTTTCTATTTCCTCAAACGCAATCAGTATACTCACAACGTTTCCAAACTTGAATTTAGGTTTGACCTAACTTAAATTGAATGCGCACTAGAAGAAGATTTATTCCCAAGCAAGCCTTAAAAGGGCTGATATATTTCGTGCATGCACTTTAATTTCAATATTAATGTAGTTCTAATGTATTATATAGTATTAATTTGCTTCTTTAGGCAGCGCATTTTTAAGAAATTACAACTACTGGGGGTAAGTCTCAATGAGGGCCTTTTTCTCACACAGTTTATACGGGTGCATAAAAAACACTCTGTGCTCAGGGGAAGCGCTAGCGGTATTTGAATAGGGGGTGGGTGGGTGTAGGTGAAATATTGTCTACTAATTTCAAACGCTAATTAATATTCTTTTTCCCAAAATTGTTGGCGAGCGAGCTGGGACGAGGGTTCACGGCTCAACATCACAAATTTTCCGGACAATTGAAGGACAGTTAAAAGTTGAAGGTGCCATTAACAGAACAAGGATCTCAATAGGAATTATTATGTCCTTTCAAAAAGGACACAAACACATCAACATGCTGATATACAAATAAGAACATTGTCAATATTAACATGGAAAGTGCATGAATTTATAGCCCTTATAAGAGCAACTTGGTTGTTGCAACGATATTTGAAGCATATTGTCATTTAAGTATAGACATTTTGTTTGTGTCAAACGGACAAAGATAGACAAATCACAGTTTATCAAAAAGGTGTATGCCAATGATGAGTTGTTTTGGAGGAGGCAACAGTCCAAATGCTGAATGTAATGTAATGAGGTAATAAATGGAAATGAATTGGGTTTATGATTTATAGCTCGGGTAGACTGCGAGCGGTCTCTCCTTTCCGCGGGTTTAGATTCCCGGGCATGCGAAAGGAAAGAAGGGACTGCCGACAACACATCAAGAAACGAAATACGCGTTGCCCACACAACGCAAAATTCCCATTGGTCGAAATCGATACGCCTGTCAATCAAATCTGATATTATTATTACTAGTTTACCCACAGGGTAGTGTAGTGAATGCTGTCTTGGTATAGCATTGTTCCCAAATCTTTAATATTTTAAAGAATAAGAGTAAGAAATATTTGTAATGAATTGGAATCATCCATAATTTATACACTTGAATGTGCCGTATGATAACTTGGCGCTCGAAGTTTCGTATCGAAAGAGGAACAGCCCAACAGATACGATGGCTAACAAGAATAAGTGTACTTATATCAACTTATCTAACGCGAGGAAAAAATCAAACTGGCAGGTATGGCTGTGATATCTAGTATATAAAATTGTATAGACAATTTGCTTACAAATACGGTGCTAGGTCAAAATGGCCCCGCTTCAATAATCATATGATTTAGACCAGGGGTTAAAGGGCAATGACAATGACATGTAGGTTACATTTAACATGTGCGAGTGTGCGTCTCACTAAATTTGCGTGTTTAATAATGTTTATCAAAGAAGGCAAAAACATATACAAGACAACTTCACATGTGGAATCTGTTCACTTACGCACAGCCTTGTGATAAAGTTCAAATACCAATGACAAACCATGCATTTTTAAAGGCTTTAAGGGACTGCTCATTATTTATTGTACAGGGGGAAACTGAGGAGAAACTCTACAGTTATAATATTTTTTCGTTGCCCCCCTCTTAAGACAAGTAAAATTTTCGAACCCCCCCCCCCAGCAGACAAAAGAAGAACATAAATTTTGGTCCCCCCTGGCTCTTTATCCTTCCAAAGTTTGCAAATTTTGCATACTTTTGTATTGCAATTTTCGCATGCAATACAAAAGTATACAAAATTTGCAAATTTGCAAGGCTATATTTTCCGTATTTTACAACATTTCGCAACCAAACTTTGCAATAATAATTTACTTATTTTAGTAATGCTCTTTCTAGTTGTGGTGATTTATTTGCATCAAGGCCGGATTTTGAGGGGAGGTGTGGAGAGGTGCGCACCTTCCCTGAGATTGTTTTGCACCTCCCCTGAGAATTTTTGCATCTCCCCTGAAAGGTCATGCACCTAGTTTTAAAATTTGTCTATAATGGGAATGGTCTATTTACATGAACATAATTATTTGTTGTTAAGTTGTTTTGAGATGAATTTTTAAAACTACTAAGTTTTTTTAAACTGGTAAATTTTTTTAAAGCCCCCCTTCTTTCGCCTCTCTGTATTTTTTCAAAGACCCCCTTTCAGGTTTTAAAAAATTTAAAGGCCCCCCAGTTTCTCCTCAATCCCCGCCTGTACAATAAATAATGAACGGTCCCTAAATCCTAAAACATAATTAAATCATACGGCACATTCATGATTTTAATATCGTATTTCAGCCGCGTTTATGCTGCTTGGCGCGCATTCGCTGCGTTTATTAATTTATATACCTATGTTATATATACAGATTTATTACTAATAAATCAACACTATATGATAATATAGAACTCGCAAAGTGCAGTCACCTTTTTATAAATAAACCTTTTTAAAAGCATGTCATTGTCATTGCAGACCAGAGGCAAAAAGCACAGCCACATACCAAATTTAAGCAATCGTATATACATGGAAAAAATATGGAAATTATGTTAAAAGCACTCCGTATAATGACGAATTAAGCGCCGCGTATAATGCTCGAACCACTGCGTATAATGGCGAACGCACCGCGTATAATGGCGAAAGCACCACGTATAATGCTCGAACCACTGCGTATAATAGCGAAAGCACCGCGTATATAACGCTCGAAACACTGCATATCGACAAAATGGCGTTTCATCACTTATATACGCCAGCTATGGCTTTCCAATTTCCATAAAAGAAAACCAAAGATGAAAGATGATCACATTGCTTGTTTGCCTTATGCCTGTTTATTAGGCAAGGATAGCCTGCCGGCCCGGAAGCAGTGCATTGTGGTAGGCCGAAATACGCCGAAACGATCAAGATTTCATCTGCACTTACTAGTTTACCCACAGGGTAGTGAATGCTGCCTTAGTATAGCATTGTTCCCAAATCTTTAAATGAGATTTTTTGTATGTTACGTAACACGCGCTTAAAACTAAGGCGTACAATATACCACATGAGATTATGATTAAAATCAAAATTTTTATTTTTCGATACGTTTCTCAATCGGTAAAAAAAAACTTAAAAAGTATGTTTAGTGCTTTATCTGTAAAATAATGCTAAAATGAAGAGATTTTAGATGATACGCCAAAGAGAAAATATAATACATATGCATAAAGATTAGGTCTGCTGCCTTGCTCGCTCGTTTCAGGCTCGCTTGCTGCGGCAGCAATTATTATTATTATTATTATTTAAGCTTATTTAATCACGGTGGCCTTTCATGAGTTTGTTTTTCAAAGGGCCGTGCACACTTACTATAAATTATTATAAAAATATTAAAAATTATTAACTATAAAATAATCATGCATAATATACTCTATTTATCTAATATATCTCGTAACATAGCTATAGAACAAGAAATCTTTTTGGTTTGTTTTTCAACATTATTATTATTATTATTATTAAAGTGGTGCATTGAAAGATGAGTTGCTTTAGTGGAAAAGGTCAAAGTCCAAAAGCTGAACGTAAAGAGGTATAAATAATGTAGGAACTGGAACTAGGATAAGAGTACGTTCACGGCGACTGCGAATATGGAACCATACTCAAATTTGCAAGAAGATTTGTTATTGTGGTAAATACCAGGCACATAGAAAGTATTTAATGGCGTGTGTTCTGATGGCGAGATTTCCCGTTCTTTAGTCGCGTGTTTTGATGGCGCATGCATGTATTCAGTGATTACTAGTGATTTACTCGAGATTTACTCCGGTACGGTAAAGACAAAAGTGTAAAATTTCCTTCAAACTCAATGTTTACCGATAATTCGATAAAAGGCAAGTTTAATTTTAAGAACATTTTAAAAGTTTAATTTTAAGAACATTTTAAAACGTTTTGCGGAGCGTTTGTGGTTGAATTTTATACATTAAATCGAAGCTTATATTACGTATAATAACATACCTAGCGTATATATGTTTGGGAAATTGATCATTTTCTAATTAAAAGTAATATTTTGGGGGGATTTTTCAATTTTAAAACTATTCTTAAAGTTACCATGACAACTACTTTCAATACTTCATGTTCAGAAAACATAATGATGTAAGGCGAGGATTTCTGCATGCATGCATGTATTTTCTAGTTTTAAATATATTTAACTCAACTTTGGCAAATTGGTGTTACGGGAACGCCATAATTTCCGGCATTTCTGGACAGTTAAAACAAGTACATAAAACATGGTCAGCCTAAATGATTCATACTAATATATGGTCAATCTTGGAATCTCTTCAATTCTCTAAATTTCTCTGCAAAGTTCCTGTTTTCTCCGATAAGATAATTTATGGCCTAAGTATGTAAGATAATATTATGTAAGATAATTTACCACCCGAAGTTTAAACAACTTTTCTCCATTGTTCATGCATCAACTGTTGCCAAGAAATTCTGATATGACACTCGTAACACGCGATATTGCGACACAGATCGGGTGAGTGGTGGTGTGTCTAAGGTATAGACGAAAAACTGAGGCAGGTATACTGTAGATCGTTTTGTAACATGCAGTGAAATAAGCCGGCCAAAGCCGGTTTGCAAATCTTAGATTCACAGTACGAACACATTGACAATTTCGAAGCTTTGTTCTTTAATAGATATAATTATTCCAGACCATACATTGTATCTTAATAGTCTGGGAATAATATATACTTTACAACTTAGGAAATAACGTTTTAATATTCGTAAGTATTAGAGCTAACGTTATCCTTCTCGACAAACTGTATCGCATTACAGTATACGATTAGAACGCTTGAATTTGCACCAATTAATATCTGCTACATTTAGGTTTAGAAAATTTTTTCTCAGACCATTACTTATATCCAAAAACGTTCCAAATTATTTTTCTTTTATTTTCCAAATTTGGGGGCCACCCTTACACTGTACCTCTGATAGGCCCTGTCAACTTATAATTTTCCCTATTGAAAAGTCTCTGCATGATTTTTTTTTTCAAACTTTTCTGGGGCACGAATACTTTTTTCTTCCTCTGCTCGATTTTTATTTTTGCTTTGGCCTCCCCCTCCCCCCCGCCCCCCCCCCATCACTTTTCTAGTGGTCCGCCCCTAACTATGATTGAAATAGCTGTATACATCACTGATCTGAAATAAGACTGGATAACGCATCTATAGTATCCAAAACTGAAGCCGGAAGTCACCGGCCGCCACCCGATTCTGGGGCCCCACTTTTGTATAGATTTGTATTACAGACGGTAGTTTTTCGCGTTTTTTGTCTTGGCTACGTTTCCGATCGGGCCAATTTTACAATCACAACGATAGAAGCATGTACAAGAAGAATTTTGAGCAAACAAATTGGAGTATTATGGCTTTATAACGCCGCGAAACGGGATTTACAACTCTGAAGGAGTGGAGAGCCTCAGACTTTGTTTATCAACACGAGTTCGTTTTGCTACTTTCATACAAAATCAACTCAAAATATACAAGAACTATTGTTACTGGACAAATATTCTCACCAAATTTGAAGAAATGAAGCAGCTACAACATTGTGAACGAAAGCGTACAG